CCTTTCTTTCCTTATGAAGTCTCCAGTGTCACATAAAACATATATCAAATAATTCTGAATGCTTTTCTCTTTTGTTAAAGGGGCCCCACTCCAAAATTTAGAAGGGTAGAAGAAAAAGACATTTTTCCTTTCTTACACCAAATTCCATCTTGCTGACTTCTGACCCAGCCCAGACTTTGCAGCAGCCTTCATAGGCCATATCGTAAGTCCCCTATTCTGTATCACTCATGGGGATTCTACTTTGAGCAAACTCTGACAGATACACCATAGTACTGTTTGAATATACTTTGGACATTATATTTAATAAAAAATGAAGGGTGGGTAAAGTCTGTTTTCTAATGTCTGTTTTGGTGTCCTATAATTTGTCTTATTTGATAACAAGAATCAAAGTCACATATTTTCCAGACCAGAAAGCAAGGTGCTATCTGCATTTCATGGACAAGGAAATATAAGTTCCTAAGTCATGTTCAATTGTAGGTTATAGAGTTGTAGAGTGAACCCAAATCTTCTGAAAGAAGCACATAAAAGCCAGTTCTAAAGCATCTCACAAGCAGATTATGTACAGGTAAGTCAGATCAAATTCAGAAAATAAGGAATTGTGAAAGTTGCTCAGAGGAGAATCATTCTTCTCAATCCAGTATAGTACTTGTATACGAAAAGTTATTTTTCTTTCTCTCTATGAATACTTTTTAATGCCTTCAAAGCCTCTACCTACTTTTCTAAAGTGCCAGAGAGTAATTTAGAGCCCAAGGACAGCCGCCTTTACTCTTTGGCCTTCAGAGGTATTTCCACTGTGCTTTCTTATACCACTAGCTTTTTTTTTATAAACATTAGCAATACATATTTCAAAGACTATTATGTGGTACAAAAGATTCATCATCATCATAACATTAATCCTTAGTAAATGTTTGAACTGTATCAATTAAAATAATATTAGCGACATAAGAGTACCTTTCACATTTTGAAACTCTTGCTGAAGCAAATTATTTTTTCTGTGAAGAATCAACATAAAAAAGGCAGGCTTGAACTTGCTAAATAGAGCAGAGAAAGGAGAATTTTAATATGAATGGATGTGTCCCATCCAACCAAAGATTAATATGAGGTTTTCTGTACTATAATTATACAAATTCCTTAAACTTATATTCTTTGGGTTCTAGAAATTGATCATTCAAATTTCAGTTACCTAAAAGTATTTGAACTTCTTGTTTAAAGAATTTATACATTTCTCCTATAAGATTTCAGCTTTGTGATTATTTTTTTATTTCAAATCCATCAGTGAATATTTATCTTCCTGGATATGGCCTTGTGAGTCATCTTAGCACATCACCTTCCTCTTTTGCACCTCTTGTAATTACAACTCCCTTTGTCAACTAGAGTTTTGTATGGCACATCCTCATATGTAAGCATTTACCTAAAGGCGTATAACTTAGCAGTGCAATTTTCCAAGAGTGATGTGGTTGGCAGCCAGCCTCCAAAATGGCCCTGAATGACCCTTGCACGCTGGTACTCACACCTTTGCGCCATCTCTCCCAACACGGAATAGGACTAATCTGGGTAACCAAAAGGATTTTGCAGAAACAAAAGTGTGTGGTTTCTAAGTCTACATCCTAGCAGGCATTGTGGCGTCTACCTTGCTCTCTCCTGAATCGCTCACACTGGAGGAAGCAGCTGCCATGGTGTGGGGACACACTAGCATTAACTGGCAGCCATGTGAGACATCTTGTCAATAGTTCCACTACCCCAGAAACTCTTTCAGATGTCACAGTCCTAGCATATATCTTCACAAAAGCCTCAAGGTATGCCCAAAGGCAAGAACCACCCAGCTAAGCCAGTCCCAGTTCCTGACCCATAGAAACTGTGGGAAGTAAAAAATATTTATTGTTGTATTAAGCCACCTAGTTTTGAGGTAATTTATTATGCGACAATAGATAACCTTACCAAATGTAACAAACAGCATTTCATCTTATAAACATTTTATTATTTTTACATTCTGATTTTATTAAATTTATTAATTTTTAAAGTTGTTCAAAAACAGTTTGACTGATTGAAATGAAATTTTTTATGGTGTATTGTTTCTTCATAATGTAAAAAACTGTTTTAAAATCCAACTGTCAGCATTATTCATTCCTTTAAGCAACAGGTAGCAGGACACCTACTATGTGACAGGCACGCATATTCAGAGATATATAAGGCGGTCCCTTCCTTGGAGAGGTTTAAGTTTCGGAGTGAGATAGATCAGTGAACAGATCCTTGTAATACAATGTATTAACTGATTTAATACAGGTGCCCATAAGGTATGAAGGAATGAAAGCACAGTACAGAGAAATCTAAGGAAGTCTGAGAATGTTTCACAACAGAAGCGGCAGGTCTTGAAGGGTGAATAAAAGTTTCCTAGGTAGAAAATTGAGGAATGATTCTCTACTAGTGATATTCATATTTGTACAGTGCTTATAATAACTAGGTTTTGTTCTAAGTACTTTAAATATATTCACTTATATAATTTTCTCAATTTTATTGCATAGGTACTATTATTATCCCTGTTTTATAGGTGATGAAACTGAGACAGAGAAAGACTAAGTGACTTTTTCAATATCACACAGCTAGAAAGCGGTAAGGTCTGGACTTAATTCCAGGGAATTCCAACACCAGAGTTCACATTCCTAACTACTTTGATACACTTTCAACTGTCTAGGCAGGGCTGGGAGGGAGGAACAGTATAAGCAGAGGCAGTGTGCAGTGAAAGTATGTTTTTCTTAGAGAAAGAAGAACAGAGAAGAACAGTAGTGATATGATGGGAAAACAAGGTGCATGACCTGAATTACAAGAAGAAAATAAAGAACTAAGCCAAGGACTTAAATATCGTGCCAAGGAATTCGTAATTAGGCAATAGGAAATAGTTGATGAACTTTGTGTTTTAGGCAGATTCCTTTGGAGCAATGTTAAAGGGGAGAGACTGGATGGGAGAGACAAGAAGAAATTGCATTAATCCCCTAAAGAGAGGATCGAGGTCTGAAGTGCAGTAAAGGAGGTGGTGGTAATAAGAGAAAGGAGCAAATTTATGGGGCATGGAGTGAGTGTCATGGAGCATGGTGACTAATCAGATGCCAAGCATATTTAAAAGATGACTTGCGGGTTTCTTTTTACAGGGAATGGATAGCTGGTTAGGTCATAAATAAATATAGAAAATTAGAGGAGGAGACCTCACATAGAAGATGTGCTTAATAAACATTTCTTAAAAAAATAAATGAAGTAGTAGTAGTACAGAGGCTATTTTTTTCCCTAGCAGATGAAATGCCAGTAATATAGGCATTATCCATAGCACCTAATTACAGTGGTCCAAGGAACTTCTACTGTGGATTAAAAGTGTGTCCTACATTTTTAAGTAATGTAATCTGGAAGTCTAATAGGTGGCTGCTCATTTTATAAAGTAGTTAAGAAAAAATTCCTTTAAACAGAAGTTTCTGTAATGCATTTTTAAATTATTAACTTTACAAATATTAGATTTACATGCAGTTCTTAACACCTTTAGTAAACATTAAAGGACTGTATTTTATGATCATGTTTGGTTTTAAAATTTAAATGAATTAAAGTCTAAGAAAGGGAAAAAAAGATGAAATTGCACAGTCAACATAGGCTCAAGGGAAATAAAATCTTCTAGAGTAATATAACTAATTGTTTTTCATTTAAAATTCTAGGTCATAATTTTATATTATGGACAGTTCTAGGGTTTATCCTTTTAAGAGTCTGCATTACACAATATACCAAAATTACAGCCTATTTAGAGCAGAGGTTCAGGGCTCTGGATGAATAGCCCCTTTTGCTTAGATTGATACCATCGACACATCTCTTGCTGTTAGATGATGCTTGCTTTTGCCCATCTACCAATGGCACAGTGGGCACCTCAGATACAACTCCATGTCAATAAACCAAAATGATACAATTTTATGACTTTGCAACTTGATATTTGTATTTCTGTTAACATAGCCATTTTCTGGCACATATAGTAGATTCTTGGTAAGTAATTGTTTAATGCATGAAAGCCCATAATGAAAAATAGAATGAGTATATGGAATACAACATTCAGTAATTATAGTTTCTGGATCCTACTGATTCCTCTACTACTGAAGAAAGAAAATGAGGGGTGAGTGGTACAAATATGAAGCAGAGCTTTAATAGATTAATAAAACAGTCTTGCTTGTGGTCAAAAGTGATAAGCAAAAACTCATTCAACTATTTATTTAATATTTATCAAATGCTTGATTAATTCCTTCCTTCAAGGAATGCACAGTCAATAGAGCATGTGAATGAGAAAATAGATAAATATAATTTTAAAAATACAAAAAGGCTTTGAACAAAGAGATGAACAATATTCTCAGAGATTGAATTGCCATGATGAAAATCTATCTTTCTTCACTTGTGCTATTCCTATTTTACTCCAAAACACATGATATATATAATATCTCATTATAAGTCATTCTGGGAAAATCCTTTTAATATCCTTTATTTTCAGGAACTCAAAATAGGGTGTTTTGGTGGGAGGAGCAAAGAGTTTTTCTGCAAAGAAAGCTTGAAGCCAGATGGTAGGGGGACTTAAAAATACTTTACACTATTTTCCATTTGTCCAAAAGCTTTTCCTTTCATCTTATATTACCTAAAGATTGTAAAAACTAAACATTGCCCTTTATTAATGGTTGATAAAGTTCCAGTTCCAAAACTAAGTATCCACCCAACCTTTTTAATCATTATCTTCATGAAATTGCAACTTTCAGCCTTTGTTCAGCTCTACAAATAAGAAAATATATTTCATCTGAAATCAATGAGTATATCAGTCGAAGGAGAATAGAAGGTAAAAGCAAAGAAGGGAACTAGACTTCAGTGACTAAAAAGCACATTTGCGGGGCGCTTTACTTATCACATTAAGTTGAGGTGAAGGGAAACAAAGCTAGAACTGGGAAGAACATTGTTTATATCAATTTAAAACCAAATTTCATGGATCTTACCTGAAAAGTTTTTGTAATCCACTAAATCAAACATAACAACGGCAACAGCTGACCATGTGATTATCAGAGCAATGACTAGAAGCCAGGCTGCCGGGGAGCTGAATGTGGTCACGATGTCTTCTGTGACTGTCCTCTTCAGCACCTTTCCAGGGGATTTGGGCACAGATCCATTTTTGTTGTCTATAACGGTTGTAGTAGTGGATGCATTTCCTAACCAAACATTCAAAAAGAGGAACTGCAATTTAGAATTCACATCAAATATTAATGACAAGAAGAAAACAATAATAAAGGTTATGCAAGTATATGTAAGTGCTTATACCATTTTCTGTAGCAGAACCACCTCTTTAGTGACAGGGTCATACCTCTCTGCCCACTGCCACATTATCTCTTCCTCAGCATTTACCCTCCTGCCTGAAACCCATATGCTCTGATAATCAGCATTCCTGTATACCAAGTTCCACAAATGGTGCCATCCAGGCCACAAACCTTTCCATCGCCTTAATTCGTTTTTGCTTTTCCCTTACCACCTCCTATATCCACTACCATCATGGTCAATGGATTTTTTGGTCAAGTTGATTTTTAATATCTTTTTTCTTTATTTAGGCTCATATGTCAGTTCTGAATGCAAGCAGAAGTATCTCCTCTGGGAGAGAAACAAAATCAGTAATAAAATAGTTTAAGTAGATGAAATTCCTTCTAGCTATCCTGGTTTAACTGCATAACTGACCCTTTTATTGAGGCCATTCATTTTTATTTGTGAAGGAGCACAGAAGATCTAAGAGAACAATGTGGGAAAACCTTATATCTAGTAACTTTTTTATTCCTGCCTTCAAGAGTCTACATGTTCATGAGAGAAAATTGTAAAAATATAAAAAATAGCAAAATAGACAGGCAATCCTTTATAATCTTACCACCCAGAAACAACTAAATACAACTATTTTTAGATGAAAATGGTAAACCTAAGGCCATGTTTTTAAAAGATTAAAAAGCTGATATGGAATGTCAGTATTAAAATGATTTAATTAAAATTTTTAAATGACTTTAGGTAAAAATTCACAATAGTGACTATGAATCTCCTTTCTTTTCTGAAAACCGACATGAATATATATCCCAAGTTCATGAACTCAATTTAGTTGAAATGATAGCAAGGTGGAAAAATACCTTTGAAAACAGACTTCACAGACTGCACTTGAGATGGTGCTCCAAGAAGGAAAAATTAGAAAGAACTCATATCACATCCTCTCATTGATTTTTGTGCCAAATTCCCATCACTTCTAATGGCAGTTCTGAAAACGGATGAATGATAGGAGTGCTTTGAAATGTGATTTGAGACCCAAGTGGGGCTGCAAGTGAATCAAACCTTCGGAATAGTAATTTGCAAGAGAGTAAGTGAATTATAAGTGCTTAGGAGAGGCCCACCTGAAAGTTGATATGTTGCTAATCTCCAGTTTTTTAACTTCTGGAAGGCTTCCTACTACTGCTATATGGAGAACACTGGAAAAATTGCTTTTGCCCTTCTGATTCACTTCAGTGAACTGTATTAGAGAGTGTTTCTGTAGACAATATTATATGCACCTGCTTGGTATCTTGAAACTGAAAGAATAAATTTACGGAGATTTGATACAAATTAGTTGAATCCTCATCACATTTTAAAAAGACAGACAATTTTAAAGGAACTAGAATTTCTATATATGTTTTCTTTTCTTGATCAGAGAGTTAAATATGATTTTTTAAATAACCGATTACATATGTATATAAATTTCAAATTTTATTTCACCTTATAATTCTGCCAACAGTTATGTTACAATATTTTAAATAGATGAAAATAATACAGTAAATGATTTTTACTTTTTTTATATTTTCTTTGTCCTCACATCCTCAAAATTTCCACTTAAGATTTAATGAAGACTCAAAGGTGATAGAAATATATTCTGAGTATCAACTGCAACACCACAAGCAATTTGAAAGTTATCTTGCTTAAAGTAAATTGTGTTGCCTTTGTTATGAAAACTCACTAAGTTGTACCTTTCATGTTCCATCTTTTAATTCACATATTTTGCCATTCTATTTTTTGCAGAATGCGTATGTACTGTATACATAGATATCTATGACAACTAAATTATGTTTTTCTACAAGTATCTATAAACTGAATGAAAACAGATTTTCAGAAGCAAAATATATCATGGCAGTTTATAAAAATAAATAATCCTACATATTCTAATTGATAGATGAGAAATAGATATAGATAGCTGATGATAGATAGATGATAGATGACAGATAGATGATAGATAATAGATAGATAGATAGGTAGATAGATAGATAGATAGATAGATAGATAGATAGATAGACAGATGATAGACAGATATAGATAGATAGATGATAGATGATAGATGATAGATGATAGATGATAGATGATAGATAGATAGATAGATAGATAGATAGATAGATAGATAGATAGATAGATAGATAGATAGATGATGATAGATAGATGATAGATAGATAGATGATAGATGATAGATAGATAGATGATAGATGATAGATAGATAGATAGATAGATGATAGAGATAGATGATAGATAGATAGATAGATAGATAGATAGATAGATAGATAGATGATAGATAGATAGATAGATAGATAGATAGATAGATAGATAGATATAGATATAGATAGATAGATAGATAGATAGATAGATAGATAGATGATAGACAGATAGATAGATGATAGATAGATAGATAGATAGATAGATAGATAGATAGATGATAGAGATAGATGATAGATAGATGATAGATAGATAGATAGATAGATAGATAGATGATAGATGATAGATAGATAGATAGATAGATAGATAGATAGATAGATAGATAGATAGAGATAGATAGATAGATAGATAGATAGATAGATAGATGATAGATAGAAGTTAAGAAATAACCTAGAGTCATTTTTAGAAGAACCCAGATTCTAGGCATATTAAAAAAAAAACAAAACAGCAACAGCAACAAAAAAACACTATTCACTTTCAAGGTAAAAATTGCTTTGTTCTCAAACCAGAAACTGGTCCCTTGCCAATTTTAATGAAATCTCTATATTTTCACCTTTCTTCCAGATTTTGCAGGATGTGATCATTGTAATGATAGTTAATAGAATGAGTTGGCCACCTAATCTACCTGCTGAGGTGAAGAGATGTGTACTATTTTGTACATCACTGAGCACTGCTTTCTGCCCACCCTCTCCCTCCACTCTAACAGCATGTGAATGCTGTTTCTAGTGGTAAGACTAGAACAGGAACACTGCCCAATCCCCAGCCATAGGAATGGGCCTTTAAGACAAGCCTGATTATTCACAACACTCCCTCTTGCCTGTGACAGTGAAAAGATGGGGTAATCAGAGACCTCCACATTATTTGTGCAACTGTTGGAGGACATTTTCTGTCTACAAGAGTTGCTAAGCTGGTGGGATCCACCAGTGGCCCTCTAGCCCACCAGTTGGACAGTCTGCTGCAGCACAGAAAGTGGCAGGGTTCAGGTACCACTAGGGAGGTTCATGGATTCAGCTGTGTTTAGTCAGGTTTATCTCTGGATTTTGCAATTACATGACAGTGTAACTAACAACTGCTTTGATTTGGTGGTGTTCGCATTACCAGCCATTAAGAGTTCTAACTGACCTTCTGGCTCCTGCTAGGTAGGAAAATAATTATTTGCCTTCATCTACTGTGTGATGAGGAGTGATCAGCCAGAATGATCAAAATATACAGCTTCTTTTAAAAATCATTTTCACTTTAGAAAGAAAATCTCAAATCTCAAATCTTACTCTTGTTTCTTTAGTGGCTATTTTGTCACGTTTCTTAATGAAAAGATGTGTTTGGGGTTTGCAAGGTGAGTTGCTGACATTGAAGTGCTCTTACTAGAAAGAGTTTGCTCTTGTTCTAGGTCAGTGAGAGGCAGGGACTCCCTCCCTGGTCAGTGGTGCTGCACAGTGGTCTGCTAGCCCACTTTCCAATAGTCCTTACTGTAAGATGTCTCTTCTTGTATTAGCTACTGTAAGCCCAGTCTCCCCTCCCTTTTGAACATTCATTTTCAACTTAGTAACTTATTCTCCATTCAGATACTAGTTTTCCTACAAATAGCAAACTGAATTTAAAGATGAAAAGCAATGAGTGCATAACTCAAATTCATTTTTTTGAAACAAAATGCATTGAACTTCTAGCATATTACAGGTAAAATGTATTGTTTTACCAATCTAAAGTGGGAAAGGATTTCTGATGATTTTTTTATATTAAAAAGATTGTTTTATTAAAACTCCACTGCTAAAATCCAACTCCTCTTTCAAGAATCATCTCAAATGTCAACTCCATAATGCTATTTCCTTGATCTTTTTAAATGAACACTACTGTTCTTACCTGTGATGCTATAATATTTTCTGATAACACAATGTCACAGATAAGATTATTCTGACTTTTGTGTAGCCCTTTGTCTGTTTTTCAACATGACTCTATGTTGGAAACAAGTCATCTATCCTTTTATAGCACTTAGCAAAACACTTTTTACACAGCGAGGCCCAATAAACACTTACTATAATGTGAAAACTTCATAAATTTTGTTAAAGGAAATCAGCTTTAAAAAGTGTTGTGTTAAATAACCTCAATATTTCTGCATGTAGAAGGGTGTACAGTACATAGTAACCTCTAACCAGGAAAGGAAATGAAATATAAAACAAAATATATTTTTATGACATGAGAAAATGTTGAGATGAGAGCTATGTTACTGATGTAAAAGCATACCTGTTCAGGTGCATGTCATAAGTAGTGGGAAGTTTAGCTGGTCAAAACAATTAAGGCTACAACAGAGGAGGAAAGTAGTAGGGTAGAGGAAAAGATATGCAATCTCTTTAACTGAAAAAAAGCATGTACTTGCTAAATAATGTCAATAATTTAGCTGAGACACTTCTTTCCACTGAAACTATTAGAACTAGAATGTCAGATGTTATTAAAGTTGTTAAATCTCTGAAGGTTTTTAAAAAATCTCTGAAAGCTGGGAGTGGTGCCTGCAACCGGATTAGGCAGAACAAATGTACAGATGAATGAGAACGCCGATGATCGACTTACATACGTGTGATGATGCACTGTCTTAGTCAGCTGGGCCTGACATAACAACATACTACAGACTAGGTGTCTTAAATGACAGAAACTTATTTTTTTCACAATTGTGGAAGCT